TCTCATAGTTTTGCATGTGGGCCAGACACAGTATATAAAGAAATTGTAAAGACCAAAGTAGAAAATATCTATCTGCCACTAAAAAGCTGTCTTTGTCAGGCAGCTGGGGTGAGGGATTGATCTCTCTGGTTAGAATTAAGCTAAGTTGGGGTTAAATTATAGCTTTAGTTAGTTTTAATTCATCACTGGTTTTCAAAAGTCTTGAGGTATAAAAGGTTCCACCTTCCAGTCTGGCTTGGTGTCCAAGCATCATGTAACTGTGGGATTCTGCTGTGCTCCCCAGCCCTGCCTCAGGATTTCTGTGCTGTGCCACTAAAGATCTCTCTTTGACTCTCACCCTGGACCCAATTACTCACATGCTGCTGAGCTCTGGATACAAGTCTTAGGTTGAGAGTTGGTAGATAGGACTTGCTATGTATCTGGGGCTCCTATGTATTCAATATTCCACGTTAGTCCAAGATTGCTAAACATTTGACCAGTTTCTCCTTTTACCTGTAAAGTCTCTCCCCCAATGATAGGTCTGCTCCCTCACCTGTTCCCTGAAATTAAAGCCCCCATCAAGACTTAGCTCGTACATGAAGGGTTTATTCCACTCTGAGATTTAGTTTCCCCTAAGTTTCTTTATGTCCTCAGTTCCCCTGTGGGTTCAATAATATATATAATTGTGTAATTTAACTGGTGTTTTTTCTTTATTATAATGGGAATTATGGTCATTTATGATCATCCCCCTCATAGGCAGAAGCAGAACTTTGAAAGGCTTCTGGTTTTTAAAATTTAATTTAATTTTTAAGATTATATTTATTCATTTGAGGGAGAGAATGAGAGAGGGAGAGAGCACAAGCAGAGGAAACATCAGAGGGAGGGGGAGAAGAAGGCGCCCAACTGAATAGGGAGCCTGATGATGTGGGGCTCGATCCCAGGACCCTGGCATCATGACCCGAGCCAAAGGCAGACACTTAACTGACTGAACCACCCAGGCGCCCTGGAGGTCTTCTGTTTTTGAAATCACTGTTAGTTTTTTTCTGATTATAAAAATAATAATCCTTTTCAAAATTCCAGAAAGTCCAGAAAATTGAAGAATACTTTATCAATATGCATTTTCATCATTTTAAAAGACTATCCTAATCCCCTCTGCTTTGCTTCGCTTTCATAGTATTTGGTATCCAAGTGGAAAGAACTTTACTTTCTTTTCCAATTTTCCATGCAGACTTCAGCCTTCAAAATTCTTGTTTGCTTCTTGGATTTTGCTTGTTCATTATTCTCCTTTCACATGCACATTCTGTGCTATGGAAGATGAAATGCATCATCCTTATGTCACACAGTGAACTTTAGTTCTGTAGGGTCTCCTCCTTCAAAAAATATTCTCTTCTTGGTACTCAGAAAATAAGGGACATTGTGACCCACCAACCACCAGGACTCTCATGATGAGATGGCATTGGTGGTTGGCAGAGTCCAATACATTTATTTCCCTCATTATATAGCATTCAATTACAAAGCTATTAAAAATGCTCATGGAAAATACCACATCATAAGACAGCTGTGGAGGTATTCAGGTTTGTAGAAAGGATCCTCTGAGAGACACAATGAAACTTAGTGATCGTTTGTTGCCAAAGAGGAAAAGAATGAGTCCCCAGCAACACATTATAGAGCAACAGATCTCTCCTATGATACACGGTGAGGGAAAGATACTAAAAGAATAAATAAGATAAGACAACTATTGTCAGATAAAGTAAATTCCTTTATTTGATAACATATAGCTCTTACCCTCTTTTTCGATCAATATCGGTGACTAGATTTTGTCATGTTCATATACTTACTTTTTTTCCAGCTGTCAGGATAGTTGCATGTGACTCTTCTATCTTGTAAAATAGGTTGCAGTGGAGTTTCCTTTTGTGCATGAGGATTGGCTTCTTATTTACATAGTTACCGTGGATGCATACTGCCTGGTGGTAAAAGGTTATGTCTGGTAGCTTTGAACTGTTGTTTCTCATAGGCAAAATGATACTTGTTTACATGTTTACAGATGAACTTTCACCTTGATATGTTCTTTTCTTCTTTATTAAATAAACTGTAATCTAACTCATCTTATAAATAGTTGAGATAATGTCTTAAGATAATAAAATAATAATAGTTATGTGCATTTCATGTTTTTATGACCATTTTTATATTTATTGTCCAGCCTGATAGTTGTATCAGTTCTGTGAGGAAGATGCTTATGTCCTGGTCTTTTATTCGTTTTATTTTTTTAAACTTCATTTACTTATTCTAGAGAGAGAGAGAGCACAAGCAGGAGGGGAATGGAGAGAGGGAGAGAAAATCTCAAGCAGACTCCGCGCTGAGTGGAGAACCCGATGCGGGGCACGATCTCACCACCCTGAGATCATGACCTGAGCCGAAATCAAGAGTCGTTCGCTTAACCGTCTGTGCCACCCAGGCACCCCTCCTGGTCTTTTATCAATGAGAAGACTTGAAGGCATCAAAGCCTTGATACAAAAAAAGAAGTGACTAGCCCGAGACCACAGAATCTTAACAATAGAATTGAGCCAGTACTGCTCAAATTCTTACTTTATCTACTTTGAAAGTATCACTGAGTCAGATCAGGTTAGTATGAGAGGGGTACTTCCAAAGGCAGGGAGGAAAATAGATAAAATTATTGTAATGACATCAGTTCAGCTTTATTTTTAAATGATGATCCAAAACAGGTTTCTGACTCCAATTTTCTTCTTCCTCCTTCTCATTTAGCTTTTATTTTCTTATTGCAAAGGTTACTCACAGCCAAATAGCCAAATGAAAAGTATGGCTTGATTAAGAATCTCTTTTGTCAGTAATTTGTGTCTAATGTTTTTAGCTTTCCCATGGGCTGTTGTAGAAAATGGTAAATCTGGTTTAAATGAAACCTGATCCTGTTAATGGTTTAATAGCAGCTGCCACAGGGTTATGGTATTTTTCAACAGATGCTTCTGTTTCATTTTAAACATAAACTAAGTCTTAGACTATTTACATGAATCATATAAAATATGCCTACACACTTTTGGCTAAATATATGGCTATAAAATAGTCTTAGGCAAGTCCCTATCTTTGCCCATTTATAATTATTCACATAGAATTTTAAAATGAAACCCAAGCCTATACTCTATTTAAAAAAAAAAAAAGATTATTCATGTCTTCCACTTCCCTAAAATTCTTTTTCTTAAAGATTTCATTTATTCATTTGAGAGAGAGGGAGAGCACACAGAGGCAGAGGGAGAAACAGACTCCCCCACTGAGCAGGGATCCTGATGTGGGGCTCAATCCCAGGACCCTAAGATGATCTGAGCTGAAGGCAGATGTTTAACCGACTGAGCCACCCAGGCGCCCCCTAAAATTCTTTTTTAAAAGGCCAAAGCACAGGCTCCATCTCTACAACTGGGGACCTGAATGATGGTTTGGTCAATCTGATCATTTCATCCATCTCTATTCCTAACACTGTTTATCAAACACTGACAAATTGCTTATACAGTGACGTGCGTTATAACGTCAACTGAAATAAACAGGATAGTCACAAAATGGTTTGTTCAACCACTTTTTGAAAAAGCATCTCTCCCATGTAAAGCACTTGTGCTGGGTACGTGAGCACTACAAAGATGAGTGACGGGCAAGTAAAACAGTGATTGTGACAATTGATAGAAATAGTTATACAATAGAAATGCCAGCTCAAGTAGAAAGGACTGAAAGTACTCTGTAGGGTGTTAGGTAACAGATTACAAGTTTGATTCCCAAAGCTCATAAAGTGCAGAATCTTTTTTTTTTTTAAAGATTTTATTTATTTATTTATTCGAGAGAGAGAATGAGAGATAGAGAGCACGAGAGGGAAGAGGGTCAGAGAGAGAAGCAGACTCCCTGCTGAGCAGGGAGCCCGATGTGGGACTCGATCCCGGGACTCCAGGATCATGACCTGAGCCGAAGGCAGTCGCTTAACCAACTGAGCCACCCAGGTGCCCCCTAAAGTGCAGAATCTTGAACTGGCAGAGTCATATTTGTCTTGTTGCTTGGGTCACATTTTCATGGTGGCATGGTTGCTCAATTACTTTGGGCTGGAAAGGTTATTCATGTAAATGCATCCAATAGTGAATTTTTCTTTAATTTTTTTTTTTTTTTTAATTTGAGTGTAGTTGACACACAATGTTCCATCAGTTTCAGGTGTATAACATAGTGAACTGACAAGTTTAAACATTATGCTGTGCTCACCACAGGTGTAGCTACCATCTGTCACTATACAACACTATTACAATATCATTCCCTATATTCCTTATGCTGAGCCTTTTCTTCCTGTGATTTATTCACTCCGTAACTGGAAGTCTGTATCTCCCACTCCCCTTCACCCATTTTGCCCATCCTCCCATCCTCTTACCCTCTGACAACCATCACTTTGTTCTCTGTGTTTCTGATACTGATTCTGCATTTTGTTTGTTTATTCATTTGGTTTTTGTTTGTTTTTGTTGTGTTGTTGTTTGTTTTAGATTCCACATACGTGAACTCCTACAGTATTTGTCTTCCTCAGTCTGACTTACTCTCTCGATCCATTCATGTTGTTGCAAATGGCATGAGCTGAACCTTTTTTATGCCTGTATAATATTCCATATATACATACACCACATCTTCCTTATCTATCTGTCTTTCAGGGGCCTCTTAGGTTGCTTCTATATCTTGGCTATTATAAATAATGCTTCCGTGGAAACCAGTAGGGAGTTTCCTCAAAAAAAAAATAGAAATACCATGCGATTTAATAATTCTATTAATGGGTATTTATCCCCCCAAAAGTAAAAACACTAATTTGGAAGGATATATGCACCCCCTATGTTTATTGCAACATTATTGACAATGGTAAAATTTTAAGGGCAAACCATAGAAGTAAAACCCATTCTTTACTTAATTCTAAATCATATGTAAGTATCATTGAATATAGCATGTTTCCATGTACAAGCATCCTAATCTTCCCTTGTCTTGATATCTTTTCCTAGGTAGTCCCTCCTAAGAAAGATGTGAAACCTGGCATGGCTTTCTTGTTTGAACTCTGTCTCCTTCGTGGGAAATATGCTTGTTTTGACTGGGTTGTGGGCTGGGCAGCCTTCCCTTTGTGTGATAACAACTTTGATGTAGTGGAGGGAAAATTCAAGTGTCCCCTTCTCTGAGGACATTATGACCAGACACTTGACAACTTCAGGAAAATGGAAGATTTGATTTGCTTGGATTTGGACCACTGGCTGTGCAATCTCTACTTTCAGGTTTGTAATATGATTTTGTAAGTGGAAAAAAGAACTTAAAATTTTTCTAAAGCTGCTTATATTTAGCCTTTACCTTACTTTTTGTGCTGTTGAAAATTTCAATAAGTATCATAAACCTGTAAAAGCAATCACATCCTAATGCTTTCTTGACACTGATTAAATTGATGTCTACAAATACAATTCTAGAATTGGCAGAAATCTTAAGGAAAATTTAATCCAAACTTCTAAGTCATGAGTGGCCCAGAAAAGTCACCCAAATCCTTCAATTCTCAGTTTACAATTTGTTGCTGCTGGAGCTGATCTGTCTCACCAACTTGGGTATAAGGCTATGATGTTTCCTTATCAGAAGTACTAACTGAGCCACTATTGTGTGTTGGGCATTCCTTATTCTAAGGATACAAAAGAGATTAGACATAGTCTGTGCCTTCTAGATGCTTGCCTTTTATTTGATGAGACCGGCATGTGTTCATAAAAAAAATAATTAATGACCCACATTTCCACAGGATAAAAATTGCCATTACAAAGCTCCCTTTGCCATCCATACATATCACTTCAAAGCATGCTGTTTTATTTACCTCAAAAATTAAAAAACAAAAAACACTCCAAAAAAACCTTGGGCATATACCATTTATTTGTATATATTTGGAAATGTATTTTCTAACCAGGTCTTTTAACAGAAATGTCATTATAAATTCATTCTAAGCAAGTACCGTGGAGGATTCCCACCCCCCCCAAAAATGACAGCATACATAAAGTATAATAAAGCATTCCAACACAATTTTATTGTGTAGGACAGTCTGTTTCTGTCCTATGTGCCCAAATTTGTTCTTTCTGATTATGATGTCTTTCCACAGTGCCTGTATCATAAAATGCTATGTGTTTTTCTTGCTTACCTACATGTTTGAATTTTCCCAGTCTGTCTGTCTGTCTATCTAGCTAACTGGCTAGGTAGCTCTCAATCAATCTAATCTAATGTATGTATGTATGTATCTATCTATCTATCATCTGTTATCTACCTATCACCATCATCTATCTACCTAAATCATGGAACTACTAAATATGGACATTTCCAGGAAACCCACGCAGTTTTGGCTTAAAAATCAGCAGCTATTTATTCTTCTTGTGTGATGGTCTTCCTGTTTCTTATTTATTTTAAGTTGAATCAGTTGGCATTTTTTTTTCCTTTTAGCTAATTCCATTATAATGTTTTGCTGAAATATCTTTTTGAGATATTATAGGTTGCTGTTAAGAAAATAAATCTAAATCCAAATATGTGCCTTTCTACTCATTCTGAAAATAGTGTCATTCTGAGTCAAATTTGACTGTACATTGAAATCATGTAAGAAGCTTTTAAAATACCATGCGTAGGTCTCGTTCCCAGAGATTTTGATTCAGTTGTTTTGAAGTGGGGTGTCAGGATCAGAAATTTTTAAAAGTTTCTAAGGCTTAGAAACACTATGATATAAATACATTTGAAAATGAATTCAAAGGAGTTATTGAAAAATCACCTAAATTTTGAAGAAAACTATAGATAACCCATAAAACAATGTTTAACAAATTGGTGACTTGAATACTGTACCAAGAAATCAAAATGGAATAAAAATAAAAATAGAGTCATAAAAGAAAATCAATTTTGATATAGGTTTGCTAGCTAATGTGAAAGGCATCTGTAATTTTTTACTAATTGTTACCTAAAATTCAGTAGTCTAAATTATAGCAAGGAAAGTCAGCACCAATTTTATTTCATAAAAGGTCATCTGGGTAGTACCTGTACTGATTGTAAAGATATGAGTATTTTATATTTGAGATAAATCAAGAAGTGATGTTTAAAATTTATAAGGTCAAGAAAAGTAGTTATTTGATAAACAGCATTTAGAAAGCTTGATTTCACTAAAATCTACTTGATTTGGACACATTACTAAAATTTTCCTTTTTTTTCTCTAAATCCTTTTTTAAAAAATTGGTGAAAAGTAATATTATGATTTATTTGTAGAGCCCACTGGCCATTATTCATTACAGATGGTTATAATTGTCTACTAACTTTCTTATTTGGTAACAAATCTTCTCTCTATATATTTCATAGGGAGGGGGGATGCGGGGTGGATCTTATTAATGAGAATAGTGCCATTAGTCAATATATGATTTTCTGATCATAAGGCAGAGTAAGTAGGAATGTATTTGCTTCTCTTTCATGAAGATAAAAATGAAATTTTCTTATCTTGAAACCCGAGTTTCCTCTTATGTGAAATTCTAAAATATTGGGATTTTACCAGTGTGAGTTTTCTCAAATGCAATTTTTGAACAAGTCAATATAATTTTTGAGTACTCTTTTTGGAGTTACTCAGAAAAAAAATAATAACTTGGAACAGGGAAGAGAAAAGGTATTAGAAAAGTGGTTTCTGAAATGCAGCTTTAGAAGAGATGAAAAGAAATAAGTCAGATAAATTATGATCATTTACCTCCCATTCTGTTAGTGGAAGGAAAGTGCCAAGGCATGTGGCTTAGCCATGACCTCACATGTTCTACCGCGTTGTGATTAGGAATAGAACTCAGGCTCACACCCCGAGCGTGGAGACAGGAGAACAGGTCTGATTCGGCCCCTATAGGGTGTGTGAAAGAATTCAAGAGGAACAACTACGCAAGCAGGATAGCCTTTAACTTTTTCCCGAACTTCCTCACTTTTCTAACTGTTTCATTTCCTGTGCCATTGATTATTTCCACCAAGCACTTTATTATTAAAATTGCAAACATAGAAAAGTTGAAAAAAAAATGGCACAGTGAACACCCATACGTTCACCGCTAGATTCTGTAGTCTTGTCTTTTATATTTGAATTAGAAATATTGTTTCTTGGAGATAGTAAATACTGAATGAATATTTGCTAACTTGATCCCGGTATGAATATCAGACAAACAGTGTTACTTGTGAGAAGAAATTAAAGAAAATTGTAAGGTAAGACAAAGAAAAAACTAAGAACTATATAGAGCAATGATGATACCTAAAGCAATTATGTAAATCTGCTAATACAAAAAAATGCATTATTTGTAAGGCAGCCAAACAAAAGCAAACATAAGGTTTGGAAAATTAAATTCATCATTGACCTTTTAGAGTTTGCAAATTGTATCATTGTTCTAGGCTGAAATTAACTGTGTGTGTAATATTTTCAACAGTTTAGATAAGAGATTTCTCTCTTAATAGGTTATTAAACTTCCTCTGTGTTTGGATGATCAACAAACCTATGAAAGACAAACTCCGCTTTCCCCTGAATTTCCAGTTTCTTTAATGGCTGAAGCACAGAAAATAGAATCAGGCGTGGAGAATACCCCCGGCCTTTCAGAGAAACAAACAGAGGAAAACATTTGTGCATCATTGGATGATAAAGCTAAACCCTCCCTATATTCTTCTCAGGGTTAGTAGACCGTTTTCAGCATTCTTTTACTAATATTTCCAGTTGTGTTATATTACAGAAAACTGAAAAAGACATTTTAATTTTTAATGTATTTCTTTCTATGCCATGCTGCTTAAAGAGAATGTAATCATTGACAAGAGTATCAGTTTCCATTTAACATAATTATTTAACTACAATCAAATATAAAATTACTTCATTGAAACACAAATCTTTCTCCGTGGCATTATGGCTCTAAAAATATTTTTTAGTTTTTTGGGGGGACAAGTTGACTCTTTTTGGTTCTTAGTTCTAGAACTAAGCCTTCTTGCTTGCTCACAAGAGTGGTAACCACATGGCTATGAAAGAGAAAATAGTCTCAGAACGAAGTTCTCCAATTATATAGTTTATTTTATAAACCTCACTCTTCAAAGACTGGCTTAATCAAGCACTAAATAAGCAAATAACATTCTTTGTACTATTTAATGTACAGAAGTTTCAGCCTATAGAAGAGATATATTAGACATGACTATTATTTTTTGCAAGATAATTATTTCCTTTACCAAAAGATTCACAAGATTCTTTAACAGGTTGGATCCTCTAGCAGTAATAACAGTATTAGAAGCAAGAGTAGGGGATGGATTGGTAGTAGCTGTAGTAATTATATTATTCCTTGCAGTAAGTATAGTAGCACTTATGGTATTACCAGCATAATAGAAGGATTACCAATAATAATAATTACATGTGATGCATGTTTTTCATGCGCCAGGCACCATAGTAGGGACTTTATTTTTTAGTTTGGAAATTATTGAATATATTAAACATACTGTACAGAAAATAACGTAACATAAACCAGTAATGAGTACCCAACTGTGTCCATTCTTGCTATTTTGCCATCTTTGCTCCACATCTTTTCTTTTAAAAAGGAACATTTTACATGTGATTAAAGCCTTCTGTGAACTGCTTGCTGATTCTGTTTCCAACCCTCTGAGACTTCTTATTGATCATTCCCATATATGGTCCTACATATGTATGTAATTATAAACAATGTATAATATCTTTTCTGTGTTTTTAAGGTTTGTGTTAAGTAACCATACTTTATATCTATTTCTGCAACTTTATTTTCTCTCAGTATTATCCTTGACATTTGCACAACTCCTACACACACACTTATATATTTTTTTGGTTTATTGATTTCATTGCTGTATAATCATGTACATGGCAACATGCATGATTGTAACAAAATTTGTTTATTTTTATCTTATTTGTTGTTTCAAGTTTTACTCAGTTGCAAACAAGATTACAGTGATTATTCTTGGACATGTCCTTCTTGTGCACATAGGTGCGAATTTCACTAGAGTAAAAGATGTTTCCTATCCTGGAGAGGAACCACTGAATCACAGGGCACACACACACTTTTTTTTTTTTTTTTAAAGATTTTATTTATTTATTTGAGAGAGAGAGAGAGAATGAGAGATAGAAAGCACGAGAGGGAAGAGGGTCAGAGGGAGAAGCAGACTCCCCGCTGAGCAGGAAGCCCGATGTGGGACTCGATCCCGGGACTCCAGGATCATGACCTGAGCCGAAGGCAGTCGCTTAACCGACTGAGCCACCCAGGTGCCCCACACACACACTTTTAAAATTTATAATGTAGCGACACATTGCCATCAAAGTAGTTGTATCAATTTGCCCTTCTAACGGCTGGATAGGAGTTTGTTAGGCTCACATCCTATCAATCTTTGTTATAATTAGTTTTGCCAATTCAATTGCAATGTAATATCTCTTTGTTTTACTTAGAATTTCCCTGAATATGACTAAGCTCGAGCATTCTTTTTTTCATACCTTTCTGTTAACCATTTGGGTTTTATTTTCTGTGAATTACCTGTATCTATATTTTGTTCACTTTTCCTTTGGGTCATTTAAAAAACTTTTTCTTACTGAACTGTAAGAGTTCTGGACCTCTTTTTTTTTTTTTTAATGTGGGATGAATCATGGGAAGCATTTGATTTCTAATTCAATCTTTGATTGCTATTGATTATTCAATAATTCTATTTAATTCATTTGAAAAACTAATTGAATTAAATTAGTCATAGGATTATATATTATGAACATATTATATACATATGTATATAATGCAATATAATGTCACTATATAAACATATATTAAATATATAATGTAATATATATTACATATTATACACATAATATATGTGTATATATATACATTTGTATACATAGTATATTATCTTTAAAGTTTATTTCCTTTTGTTACAGTTTTATTGAACAAAGAATACACTCAGATTGCTTAAAATAAAATCTACCTCCCACCACAGCCTAGTTCTTCTCCTTGGAGGAAACTAATGTTCTCTGTGTAGTATTCAATAGATATTTTATGTTTCTAAAGAAAATACATAAATATACTATTATAATTTTGAAATACCACTAAATTTATAATTATGTTCCTCTTTTCATTATTAACATTGGTTAATATATGCCTTCTTTGCTGTTCTTTATCAGTCTTGGTTGAATTTTAGTCTTCTTATTCATTTTTTAAAAATATACAACTGCTCAACTACCTCCATTAAGACTTTCTCTCCAGTGATCTTTTGTTTTCTGTATTTATACTCGGCTTTATTATTTCTTTGCTCCTATTTTCTTCCGGTTTTGGGGGCAGCTACCTTTTAATCTCCTTGATTGGAAAGCTTACGTCTTTATCTCCAGTTTTTATTTACATGGTAGATATGTGTGAAATCACCAGTCCTGACTAGATCTGTCCATTTATCCCTGTAGTTCTGTCAAATATTGCTTTATATATTTTAAATGTGTTAACTGCCTGCAATTTTATGATTATTAATTTTTGTGTTATTATTTCTTTATACAGATGTAGTCTTATATGTCTATTAATGTTTCAATTTATATTCTATTTCTTCTGACATTAATACTACCACTGTATTTTTTTTAATAAGTATTTTTATGGCATATTTTTTTCTAATATTTATATTTTATGAATTTAAAACTCATCTGTGGTGTTGCTATTGATTATTCAATCATTCTATTTAATTTCCTTGAATTGAATTATGGCTTAACAGCATAAATCTAGATTTTATTTTTGCATTCAAGACAAGTAGTTAATATGTGTCTTTTAACAGTTTAATTTTTTGTAAATACTGTTATTACTGTTATATTTGTACTTGCTGATAACATTTTTTGCAATTTATTTTTACCATCCTATTTCTTTGCTTTTTAAAAATATTTTCCTGAATTTTTCTTTAACCAAAAATAATTTTCTTTATTTTGTTTATCCTCTGCTGTTTATAATCTACAGATTTTATTGTTAATTATGTCAGATGTTATCCCGAATTTTCTCATCTACATATTTAACTGAAAATTGTTTTAAAAAAATCTTATTTCATCTGATTTTTCTCTTCTCTTTCTGAGCATGACAAGGACTTTTTGTATGTTTACCTACCCGTCAAACACCTCCATGTACTCTCACGTTATTGTTGGCTATGCTTCCAGGTCACTCTTTTGTTAAGCAGAAAACTTAGTTATTTTCTTTTCTCTCTTTTTTTTTTTTTAGTCTCAATAGAAAATTAATTTACTGGCATATTTGGTCAATATTTGTGCTTCATAGTATTTTTATGTAGCTAGTCTCCACTTTTATTTTTTTCTTGTTGAAAATATTTTTTAGTAATTCATTTAGAGTTTGGGTCTGTAAAGTGGTAAACTCTCTTAGCCCTTGTACATCTGTAAAAGTCTTTATTCTTTTCCCACTTCACCCGCTATTCCTCATTGCCATCATTTATCCATGTATACATTCTAGGATAGTAATAACTCCCTCGTTATTTTATTGGGTGTCTTTTTGTGTCTATTGCGGCTGATGCGAGGTTGGTATTAAGTGGGTAGCCACTGAAGGATGTTAAGAAAGGCAGTGATTTGGGGCGCCTGTGTGGCTCAGTTGGTTAAGTAGCTGACTCTTGATTTTGGGTCAGGTCATGATCTCAGAGTCCTGGGTTCGAGCCCTGAGTCAGGCTCTACACTTAGTGGGGAGTCTGCTTGAGATTCTCTTTCGCTCTCCCACTGCCCCCTCCCCCTGCTCATATGCTCTCTCTCTCTTAAATAAAAAACAATAAGCCTTAACAAAAAGAAGGAGAGTGATATATTTCAATTTCTATTTTAGGCAGCTCCCTCTGGTAATTTTTAGGAGGGTTTATTTGAGGAGGGCATGTGTAAAACCCGATCAGTTTGGGAAAATTTAGAGTAGTGCCAGCCAAAGAAGAGGGCCTGAATCAGGGCAGAGAGAGTAAAGTTGGAGAAGAGAGTTTAAATTTGTAAAGTATTAAAGAGGTGTAAGGGAATGACTGTAAGACAAAGAATAAAAATGTCCCTGTTGGTTGATTGGATATTGATGGTGAGGGATAATTAAGGATGATTCCTAATTTATCATGAGTAAACATGGGTATTAACCAGCAGATAATATGAAATAAAGGGAGAAGGACAAGATTAGAAGGGAAACAAAACAAAACAAAACAAACAGCTTGATTTTGGACCTATTGACTTTGAGATCCTTATGTTGTATCCAAGTTGAAATGTTTAGGAGACCATTGGGAAAATGCTCATGAAGCTCAGGAGAGAAATGGAAAGTAGGGAGGAAGAACCTGTCCATTACAGAGACATAAACACATAGACTACCGGAAATTGCTAAGTGGTTGAGTTCCACCATGCAGGGTATGTAGAGTGAGGGAAGCATTGGGTTGAGAACATAGGTCAGGGAAACAGCAGTGTTTCTTGGGAAGGAATATAGGATTCCTGCCATAGTGGCCAGACCTAAAGCCTGCAGTATTTGATTTCCTAACGGCATCTGCCTTCCTTGTCTTGTCCTGCCTATCAGCTGGGCAACACAGAGCTTCATATTCAGCTTCTGGTAGTAAATGTTTCTTGTGCCTAGAGTTGCCCAAATGCCTTGGAGATTATGCCTTGCTGAGCTGAGTAAAACTCCACGGATTGCCATGCTCCATTTTTAG